TTTTTTTTTTTTTTTTTAAAAGGGAAAAAAATGTTAAGTCCCCCCCCCCCCCAAAAAGAAAAAAAAAGCAGTTTTGGGAGGTCTTAACAGTTTTCTTTTGTTTTAAAAAACGAAAAAGAAAGATAACCTCACCTTGTAGGAAAATTTTATGTAAAACGATTTAAGACACCCCTAGTGTGGACCGTACCATTTTAACCACCTCTGCGCTAGAAGCACCTTAGCCAGTCGGTTGCGTCATTCATTCTCATTGAGCGACTTAATTGTTCGTTGTGATTTCAATATTTCAAGATTCTTTATTCGTCACATACATAGTTATAACAAGTACAACATGTAGTGAAATGAACCCTGACCGATCCTATGTTTCAGTTTTATATTTCAAGACTCGGTGAATTGATTTTTTCTTTTTCATAACTTAGCCTACCCTTTTTAGTTTTGTTAATATTGGCAATAGTGAAAAGTGTTTTGTTGGGTTCAAATATGTTTGATAAAGGCCATCAAATTAAGTTAAATGTCATGTTTTTAGTTGTTTTAATCTGATGAGGAATATTTTATTTTATTTTTTGTTGTTTTATTTTTCAATTTTCCCCCTGAGAGATTGCATGCCACCTTAATGTCCTTCACATTTCTGTCTGCCCCCTCATATATGCATGTCTAGAACCGGCCCCGTTATCCAATTTGTCTAGGTTTACCAATTGCTCTGGTCTCCGACACTCCTCACCTAGCTGTACCTAGTTTCCCATGTTTTGGTGCGCTATATCTGGCAACTCGGTTTTCTGATCTGTGCGAGATGGGTCCATGATCATGGTGTACCCAGAGTTAAAGCGTTTCTGCTGTTATTGATTTTCTCCTGCACCGACCTCTGCTACGTGTTCCAGACCCCGAGCCTCGCCTGCCCCCTTCTTCACTACCGACGCCGATCGCCCGACCCACGCCCGGCTCACCAACTCTGACCCCTGCCTCCGCCCTCTGGACTCCGTCGCCGATCACCCGTCTCCCTGTGCCGTGCTTTCAGGCACCTTTCCGCCTCAGGGTCTGCTGAGTTTTATTGGAAGCCTTAATTATTCTATGTTGATTATATTCTAACGGCTCGTCCTGCAATAAAATCGCTTACCTGTACATCCCTCACACCGGACTGTGATATACACACAGTACTCTGCCGCAGATAATAATGTAAATATAAAATCACGACACTCGATAATAAAAAGCAAAACACCCGCTAACGTACTACATCCACTGTACGTCAGGCGTCTCTCGATCAATGTATATTATTTACTATGGACATGAATGCGAACTGACTGGATGTAAGACTGTCATATTCTTTGCCTTTATTTGTTAACTTGAAAACTGCTCACAAAGAACCAAGAGTGCAACTGCATCCGGAATCCTGGAGGTGTGAGACATCAGTGCAGCAATAGAGACATCGTTACTTTCTGTTTTATAGAAAGCATTATATACATAATGCATATAGCTAGCCTACTCTAGTTGATATATTGTGTAAGTACTAACCGACTTCGGAATTTCTAAGGTGTAACTCGAGATAACGTAGGCATATTGTCACCATTTCCACAGGATAATATACTCTTGTTTGTTATCTTAAAGGTAAATTAAAGCTTAATACGATGAAGATTAAACAAGATGATAAATGGTTGACTAACCTGCACCGAGAGGACTTGGACTCCAACTGAAATGTTATCAGAACAGGACGTGCTTTATGTAACGAAATACTTTCACTTTTATACTTTCGTTTTGACAGTGCTGGAAACGGAAGTGTACGGGTTCGGTTCGTATAGCTGCCATTGTTTAATTATGCGTTTCAACAAATGCACGGTCAGCAAAGCGCTCTCCAGTCACACGGGGGGTGGGGGTGCTCACAGGAAGCAGCAGCTCAGCACGTCTCTGGTCATCTTCAACAAACGCCGGTCGCGCGCGGATTTAAGGAAGAAGACTACCGGTGACTGAGTAAGTCATAATTTCTAAAAAGAAGAGTGGAAACTATTTATTCAATAAACTTTGGAGGCTGTAGTGACGTTTTTTTAGTGCCGAACCTTGCTATCGTTAGCTGGTGCTACATGCTATTTAACTTGCTTTTTGGCATGATAAATTTATCTACTTAACTAACGTTAGCTGGTGCTATGCTATTTAACTTGCTTTTTAGCATGATATATTTAATTACTTAACTAACGTTAGCTGGTGCTATGCTATTTAACTTGCTTTTTAGCATGATATATTTAATTACTTAACTAACGTTAGCTGGTGCTGGAATATATGCAGGGCTCTCAAGTGTCACGCATTGAGAGTGACAGTCACTCTTTTCAGTCTTTTGTCACGCACTCCCGCCACACATTGTATTTCTCACGCGGAAAAATAATTTGTAGGCTAATATGCCGCAGAGCCCAATTTTTCCCCAGACCGCGGTACAGTAGCGCCTCACTATAAAACAAGCGTGTCTCCGCTGGAGTCTAATGGTGCATTCGTTTTTCTCTCGGAACTCGGAAATTCTGAGTTGAGTGACATTATGGTGCGTTCGATTATTTCTCTCCAAGTCGGAACTCGGATGAAAACGTCACGAAACGTCAAGAAAAACGTCGCTTCCCGTCGGAAATACGCCTCTTTTATGAAGTCGGACAAGATTTGCCCGAAGAGCCTGTCACTTACCAGCCAATCAAAAAAAAAGAAAGGCCTACACAATAGCCAATCAGAAAATAGTACTACTGTATCTGGGTAAAATACAACACAACAACCAATGAAAAGGCATCCTGTGGAATGTCACTCTTGCCTGTCTTCAAAACTTGACAGCCCTGTATATGTTATGTCAGAATTCCTGAAATTCAGCTCGACTTTTGGTTTTGGTGTGCCACCCCAAGATTTTCAGTGGCCCCATCTGGCCACCCCTATGAAAATTTTCTGGAGGCGCCACTGTAAATACCGGAACGTACTTTCGGTTTCATTTTCTGAGAGGGGGGCGCGACTTTCATGAGTGAAATATTATTTGCTCTACCGTGGGTGTTTGCTCTGCAAAGGATTGGTAGCCCACCCAGGGTCTCCTGTAAGTCTGTTCCCCTGTATTTTCCTTACAGGTGAGATGTGACTACAAAAAAATGACTGCTTTAAGCCACTTTCCATTTCATAGGGCACACAAGCAACTTCCTACACTTCCTACATTTTTTTTTCACCAGAATTAAAACAATCTGTATTTTGTCAGAGGGCCCAGAATTTCTAAGGACGCCTCTGCAGATGGCATTACGTACATGGGAACAGCAGACATCTGCAGCAATCAATAAGGCTGCCAATGTCTTTGCTTTCTCAGCTGAGTGCTGTATTGTAATTGGTCAGCTCAGTACTGCAGAGGGTGATGAGAACTGATCACAGTCCAAAAACATCAGCCAACAAGGAGGAGGTTAGGCCCCTGGCAGAGTGGACAACAGCCTTTTCCTTAATGTTACCAATTAACTAGAATTAAAGGAATAAGATGGTAGACAATGCTCTCATTTAGAAAGATGGTGTGAAGAGGGTTATCATGTCAGTTACAGGAACACAACAGACATCAGCAGACCCTCAGGACATTTTTACCACACGTTGTTGCAGTAAGACACCTTAGGGCACTTTAGAATAAACTGTCCATCATTTGCATGTTATTTATCATACAGTCTGCATTACTGTTCATGCTGTAATGATTCTATGATGTGGCAACTTACTGGTATTCTCTGCTAACTGACAGTCTATAGGAGGCATGCAGGAATTTTTGGAATTATACAAACCTTAAACAGCTGTCGCGGGGGTGCAGGGGTTTACACTGCTGTCTCATACCTCTGGGCCCTGGGTTCAAGTCTCTGCTGTGGTTCTGTGCATTTAGCTCTCTTTTAATCGTTCTGGTGTTTTGTCTGGATCCTGTGGTTTTTCCTGCACAGCCTAAAAACATGCTTGGGTTAATTGGTGTTACCAAATTAGCCACAGGTGAGCATGTTTGAGTACAGGGTGTGTGAGTGTGCCCTGCAATGGGCCCCATCCTGGATTGTTCACTACCTTGTAACCATAGGCTCCAGACCCCTGCAACCCTAAATAGAACATCTTACAGAATATGGATGGAAAAACCTTCAGCTTAAGCTTCTGTTTATGTTAGTCAGTTAAACTAAAAATTCCTAAAGGAACAAAAAATCACATGGTGATGCTAAAAAAATGTGACCACTTACATCCCACTTAAATATAATCAACAACAGACCTCTAGCACAATCAGAACGAAAGTTATAGACGACTCTTACTGTCAGAATGAAAGTAAAAGTATTCCATTGTTTAAAGTGCTATTCTGTTATTTAACTTCCCTCAGTGTTGCTCAGCATAAATACACATTCTAATTTACAGTGAGAGAAAGAATAGGACTATTAGATCCATTTTTTCAAAAGTTAAGGTTAAATTGCTTTTAATGCAGGTGGATCAAATAACATTTTGAATGTGAATGTGCAAATTACTATGTGCCGATTCTTCAATTGGTGTAATGTGTCAATTACTATGCTTTGGTTTGCTCTTCAGTTGCACAAGAATTACAGCAATTCAGTGATTAGTAAGGGGTGACACAGTGGTGCCGTGGTTAGCACTGTTGCCTCCCACCTCTGGGACCAGGGTTTGAGTGTCTGCCAAGGTTCCGTGTGTGTGGAGTTTGCATGTTCTCCCTCTGTCATCATGGGGTCTCTTCCAGGTACTCCGGATTCCCACCACATTCTGAATATATGCTGTGGTTAGTTGGATTTACCAAATTGCCTGTACAGTAGGTGTGAATGGTGTGTGAGTGTGGCGCTGTGATGGGTTGGTGCCCCATCCTGAGTTGTTTCCTGCCTTGCACTAATAGCCTCTAGACCCCCTTGTGACCCTGAATAGAACAAGTGACTACAGAAAACTGATGGATGGATTCACTGACAAATAATTGAGATTAACTTTGAAAATTTATTGTGAGTTTACAATAAAAATGCTGACAGGAACAAAATCAGTATGAATTATTTGTAATTCAAGCAAATCATATCATTTAAGAAGGGGTTCAATATGGTTGCAAGGCACTGTATGTGTTTGACTCCATCCTTTGCATTTTTGGTAAAGACATAGCAGACAATATCCAGATGCTTATGATATTTGCAGATGGACAGAAGCCCCAACTTCTAGAAGCCATCAAAGAATCTGGTGTACCATGTCCGAGAACAGAAAAAGGGATTCCTGTTCACTTCAAATTCAACAATTCAGCACTGTTTGCAGACAATTCTCATTCAGTCAATGTGAAAAATAGTGATGATGAAAATGAGGAAGATGGTGATGACAACTTTGACAAGATGTTCTGGAGAATGAGTGTGAAGACCATGAAGAAGTATTTCGTTGCCTTAACATGTATGGAAACCAAGAGCTTCAGGCTAACTAGGGAAGTCCTCAAAGAACGCAAAGAGCTGGAAACTGCAGTCACAGGTCTGCAACCACAGATCCAAGCTGGCTTGGCCAAACTGGATTAAATCAAAAGGACACAACAAATTATTCAGAAACATGATGCAGAAATGAGTATAAATAAAGACTTTGAATTTGAAGTAGAGGTGATGAAGTCAGTTCAGGTTAGTATAGCAGGATCTGGACAGTATGTAACCAACTGTCACCAGTGTCATTTCACCTGCCACTATCCTTGTACTATTTCGGATGATAAAGATAAGACATGTTATGCTTCCATGAACTCCAAAGGCAACTACAGAGTGTGTCCTGGCAAATGTCACTGGAATGTGCATTTTAACTAGAAATACAGATGGGGATATAAAAACGTGAAAGAAAAGAGAACATCTGAAGAGCTTAAAACAAATTATGAGAAAACATATGGTGCCAAACTGACAGCTCAGGAAATAATTAAGAGACAATAGGAAGAAATTTAGTATCTTCAAGATGAAGTACTGGAAAGAATACTAAGGTATTTAGATCAGTATTTGATATGAATAGGAAAGAATTGGGGGTGAAGATGCAAATTCTCCACGCAGAGAGCCAATGGCAGAAGCCGCTGGGCTTCCTTGGTTATATGAAATATTTTTAATTGTAAGGAAAAGTGCTAAGGATGCCACAGAAAAAGGAAAGCATTCAGGCAACTCAATTAAGTGCATTTATATTGTTGTCCACTGGAGGGCCTCAGCCAACCAGTTTCTCCAGAGGCTCTCTGCATGGCCTGTGTGCCACAGGAGCACCGTAGAGACCCTTACTCTCCAAAAGAAATGACATGGATATATCTGTAGGGATTTGTTTTTTATGTGACGTTCAGAAAATTTTGAAATTTACAATGAGGCTAGCCTACATTTTTTTAATCGTCCCATATGTCTGTGCCAAGCATGTAAATAAATCTGTACACATATATATTTTCACTAGGTAGTGTGATTCCCTGCCCTTTGCACAATACACAGTTTGCCATCTGTTGATTAAAAAGACATTAATTGCTACATTTCTTCATTAAATTACTAATCCCAGAATTGTTCAAGTTACACTGCTACAATATTTCTTGATTGCTTTGGAGCATTTTTGAAATGACAAAATAGATTATGCAGATTCCCATTATACTCATTTTATATGTGTGTGATCATTGTGTTAGTCGTCACATGCGAAACAGTTAACAAAACTTTCAAAATGATTTAAAAATATGTTCCAGAAATTGCAGTGACACAGCATTGTTGTGTTAATGGTTCCCACACTACATGATTTTGCTGTTCCTGTATTACCGTTTTGCTGTTTTTGTGTTACACAGTGTTGTGTGACTTGTTTGCTATTGTGCAGTGCCTTGAGATCTGAAAGGTACATGCGAATACCTTCTTTCAACAGTGTACTGTACTTACTGTGATATGGAGCTTTGCAAAACTGACACTGGTGTCTTTGAAATGAAAAAGTATAAGGTTGCTAATGAAAAATGACACTGACAATGAGAAAGTGAGAACTGGCTATCATTCAGTATTTTCGAGCATTTTGGCTCTCATGGTTAAAATGATGCTGATTGTACTTTTCATTTTGGTGGTACTGACTAATTCATTGATGAAATTATTTGCTTGTAAGACATGAGTTAATTGTTTTGGGAAAGTTACAGGCTTTTGCAGCTAAACCACAATGTTGTGCTGTATGCATGAACTGTTTTGAGAAATGCTCTTATAATCTTGAGAATGTTAAACATGTGTCATGAAATGTG